TTGAGATTCTTTTTTCTATCTCTTGTATTCTACTTGTCTCTGCAGTTCCTGTTCATTTACTCGAATTTTCCACATCCAACCTTCTCTCAGTTTGTGTTTTCTTCATTATCTCCATTTCATTTTTCAAGTCTTGAACTGTTTCCCTTACCTGTTTGATTGCTACTTCTTGGTTTTCTTGTTTTTCTTGGGGTTCTTTGATAGATTTATTCATTTGTTCTACCTTTTTGTTTGTTATCTCTATTTCTTTACGACAGTTTTTCACCTTTTTTTAAGTTTCTGTATCATTTTCATATAGTTCCATTTAATGTTGATTTCTTCTATTTTGTCTGGAGTAGGATGTTCAATTCTTCAATTCTTCTTGCTTTGTGATCCTTGGATTCTGGTGATGTCATATTGCCTTTCAGATTGTTGGAGGAATTCTTGCATTGGCACCTGTCCATCTCTTCCTGCAAATGCAGCCAGGAGAGTCTTAGTGTTTTGGTCCAACTTTTGCTGTGACTGATTCTGGGTGGATTTCCTCAGTGCAGGTGTAGGAACTGTCCCCAGGTTGCCAGTCTAAAAGTTTGTCCTCAGCACAGGGACAGATCTCTTGGAGATCAAAGGACCTATCAGACAAAAGGGCGAACTCGAGGGGGAGGGGAGAGTTGTGCAGAGCCAAGATGCCCCTTCAGCAGGAGTTTGAGGTGCTGTGCACACCCCTCTGGCCGGGCGGGTGTGCACTCACTCCTCAGAGTGGGTAGCCACAGTGAAGGAGCAGGACCTGTTCCTGTTCCTGGGCCAAGGACCTCACAGACAATAGGGCAGGCTTGGGGGGGTGGGAGTGGGCAGGGAAGTGTGGAACAGAGAAGCCCCTGCCCCTGGAGCTAAAGAGGCCCAGTGCCATTCCTCCTACTCTTCAACTGGAGTTTGGGAGCTCAGTCCAGTGCTAAGATGTAGGTCTCTGCCTGTCTTTCCTTCAGTTGGTGGATGAAGGTTCTATGGGGATATTTAAGATATTCATCAGTCTGACTACAGGGCAAGGCAAGTTCACACACGCTCTTCTCTATTTCTTAGGGTCTTAACTAGGGTCATCAATCATACATCACTAATAGTATGAGACTTCAACACCTCAGTCTCCACAATGGACAGTTCTGCCAGATAGAAACGTAACAGAGAATTAAGAGAACTAACAGCCATCATGACTCAAATGGACTTAACAGACATCTATTGAACATTCTACCCAAAAACTAAAGAATATATCTTCTTCTCAGCACCTCATGGAGTCTTCTCTAAAATTGATTACATACTCAGTCACAAAGCAAACCTCAAAAGATACAAAAAAATGAGTAACCCTCTGTATCTTATTGGATCACCATCGTTTAAAATTAGAATTCAACAGCAACACTAATTTCAGAAAGCCCACAAACATGGAATTTATACAGTACTCTATTTAACTACCCCTGTGTCAAGGAAGAAATAAAGAAAGAAATTAAAGACTTCCTAGAATTTAATGAAAATGAAAGCACAACATACCCAAACCTATGGGACACTATGAAAGCAGTGCTAAATGAAAATTCATAGCACTAAGTGCCTACACAAATAAAGTAGAGAAAACTTACTCTATTGAATTAACAGCACCCCTAAAAGCTCTAGAAAAAAAGAAGCAGACTGACCCAGGAAGAGTGAAAGACAGGAAGTAATCAAATTGAGGACTGAAATCAATAAAATAGAAACATAGAAAACAATACAAAGAGTTAATAAAACAAAAGGGTCATTCTTTGAGAAAATCAAAAAGATAGACAAACACTGTCCAAACTAATCAAAAGACTGAGAGAGAACATCCAAATTAACCAAATCAAACATGAAAATGGAGACATAACAACAGACACTGAGGAAATCCAGAGAATCATTAGATCATACTACAAAAAACCATTACACCACAAAATTGAATATGTAAAAGAAATGGACAATTTCCTGCAGGTAAATTTATTTCAATTTAAAATTGTAATTAAAAGGGATGGAGATCTTCAGCTGTGCAACTACAAGAACTCTTGATTCTTATTGAATTCGGGATTGATTATGTAACCTGAAATGAATCTTTTACATTTACTTCATAGTTTGTTCACTTTTGATAGAGCAATCCTCACAGGAGAGAGGTGGATGAGTTTGTCTAATGTGAGCAAAGTGCTTAGAACAGTAAATATTAGATATAATTGTCTGATATCAGCTTTGTTGGTACAGGGTGTACATGTGTGCATGGACCTGTGGTTGTGAAATATTCCACACTAGACTCCAGTTGAGAAAATATTGAAATTTTTTGACCTCAAAGCAACAATGGTGGGTGACTTATTGAGAGTCCTTCTTCTTTCTTAGTGGTCCAGGAACTATTGGATCATGGTGGGCCTGGAGGACTTGAGAGAACCTAAGTGATAAATAGGATTAGAGTAATGAGAAAGAAATGAGTGTCAGAAATACCTCTATGTGGGAGAGAAGTTAGGAGAGGCAAGCAATATTAAAAATACGTTGAATGGCATAAGCAGTCATTTGCTCAGTTTAATTCTTTTCCACTTCTCTTTTACAGGTATGAAGACACAAGTCTTGAAATACCAGAGACCATATACACTTGCTATTCTTCATGTCAAATCTTTATTTTTGTCAGAGGACAGCAAAGTTAAGGAATATTCATGGATATTAAATCCTACTGAAATATTCAATTCAAGGTTGTTTAACTTCATTGTACCTATCACAATGTCACTCAACAGCTATTTTTTATTGAAAATTCTCTCCCACACACTGTGTGTGTGTGTGTGTTTGTGTGTGTGTGTAAATGTGTATGGATGTGTATGCCCCTTCTTTCTAGGTGTCTTTGGAGGTCAAAATACCACAATCATCCTTGTGGAAATAGCATTACAGGCAGTTCTGAGCAATTCAATGTGAGTGCAGGGAATCAATTTCAGGCCTTTGAAAGAGAGGCAACCACTATAAACTGCTTAGCCACATCTCCAGAACCAACAGCTATTTTTTAAAACAGAATATATTTCTTTATTTTGGACAATCTCATACATGTACACCATGCGTCTGGATTGTACACACACCAATTCCTCTTCCCCCCTCTCTTCTAGGCATTCCTAATATGTCTTCTCCTGCATCTTCTCCTGTCATTCTTACTGTTGCTAATAACTCACTGAGACCAGTTTTTCTTGATAAACCAGTTTGGGTGCCAGAGTGGTGTGTATGGCTGGTGACCCAGGATGAATACCACAGTGCTCCTTCTGCTTCAGGTGATGACTCTGGTAACAACAACAGAATCAAGGGTGATGTGGAGTCTGGTGAGAAACTTTTAATGCCAGTTAGTAAAAATATCACCCTCTTTCCGTCACCTATTGCTAGCAACATAACAGTGGGGACAGCATTGGCCCGTATAGATCCATAACAGGGAAACATTACAGCTGCCTTTCCATTAATGGAGGCTCTTTGTTTTATTAAACTTAGTAACCTGTCATTGGTGAAGGAGTCCTCCTTTCATCATGAATGTTTATTATTGCATAATGCTTCTACTGCAGACTTTACTAATAATCATATAGGATTGAAAAAAATAGTGCATCCCATCCTGAAAAATGATTTGACCTATGGTCCCAAGCCTGCTCCTCGGTGTTGGGATGCTGATAGAGATTTTAATCTCCACCCCACAGTTATGTGGGGAGAATGTTTCACTCAAGAGACTGATTTGTTAAAAGGTTGGAAAGACTTGTAGTGGTATGGCCATAGGCTCGCCATGAAAAATTCCACCTTTCCCAGTTTTGAGTAATTGTTTTTAATGCCACTGCCAGTTTTAACCAAACAAATCTTTTTGAAACCTCTCTAAAGATAAATTATACTGCTGGATGCAATATGACTATTTGATCCTCTGCTTGCATGCTTGCCCCATTTTTCTTTGTATTGTGGAATGGCACTTTGGAGGGCGATATTCTTAATTGTCCTTCCAGCATGTGCAAGCTGAGTAATTGCTGGGATGGTTCTGATGGAGCTGTAACTACTGTTTTAGGAGATCCAACTCACTTCTCTGGCCTCTGATTACATTGCACACATATGTGCATATGATCACAAAATGCACACATATATGCACAAACATGTACATACATACATACATGCAATACTAAAACAAATCTTGAAAAGATCCCAACATCAAATCTTTTAAGTGTCTCAGACTAGGGAAATGGCTTCATGGGTAGAGGACCTGAGTTTAGATACCCAGCATCCACAAAAAAGCTAGGCATACCAGCATGCTTGTGTTATTTACAAACTGTGTTGGAAATAAGTAGATCCTAGGGACTTGATAGCTATCTACTGTAGTCAGATCAAAGTCTTCTAGTTCCAGTGAGAGACCCTGCCTCAAAAATGCTGTAGAGTTATAGAGAAAGATGCCAGATCTCTGCTCTCCAAATGAGAATACATACCAGAGGTATACTCTACGTACAGAGAGTCACACAAACAGACAAACACATATGCACATACATGTACACATGCATGCACCACATCAAGACATCATTTTCACATGGCTTATGTTGTAAATGTGGAGCAGAAGAACTTGTCTGATGCAGTTAGCTTTCTATTTATCCCCAAGCCATTTGCCATCTACATAACTCTGGAGAATCTACTAAGTCTTATTCCCATCTTCTATCCCCAACCCTGGAACTAACTTTTCAACCATGGAAAGATTTACATTTACAAGCATCCTAGAATAAAAATATTTAAAAGCTCAACAGGCACCCCAGTGAACAACTGATTTCTTAAAGGTTGTGAGGAAATTTTGACACTTTTTGCATCTAGGATGAGGCTTGATCTATAGTAAACAGTCAGTATCTAACTGTTATATACTAATTCACCTAGCACGTTGCAACCATGGAAATGTCTGTACTTACAGAGAGCAATATCTGTATTGTTTTTGATGCTAGGCATTTGGCCCAGTGGGGATAATGCATAAAGCCATCTCTGTATCTAAGGATGAAGAGTGGAAAAGTATTCGAGCCTTGCTGTCTCCCGCTTTCAGCAGTGGAAAACTCAAAGAGGTAGACCAAAAAAACTTTTTGTTAAAATGTTTGTATGACTTGAGTCTCCACACCTAGCAACCATGGATTCCTTTTGTGTTTATTGCTTAGATGTTCTCCATCATTGAACAGTATGGAGATATTTTGGTAAAATACTTGAGAAGAGAGGCAGAGAAAGGCAAGCCTCTCAGCGTGAAAGAGTGAGTAGTGGTACATCTGCTGTGGTTCTGGGAGAGGAAGGGCAGCTGGGGCAGAAGGGTCATCCTTCTGTGTGTCCTATATGTCCAGCTGTTCTTTCTTTCCCTTTTAGACACTAGATGACAAAATGTGCAGTTAAAAAAGAAACATGATAGTACCAAGGTCACAAGGGTATAAGGTGGGTATAAGGTGCTTGGTCAATTGAGGTGATGTGATTTAGCCTATCTTTGGTGGCACCTGCACCACCTGGAACTGTGATCAGACAAGGGCCTGGGGATTAAAGAATACACAGAGACATGAGTCACTCTTGAAGCAAGAATGCCAATTTTTGTTATGCTCCAAGGCACCATATATAGTGCTTTTCTTTTTTTTATGAGAAAATAATTTTATTAAATTATAAAAGTTTCCATTTCCGCTCCTCCTCCCAACACCCTCCCACTCCCCCCAATCCCTCTCCATTCCTAAGAGCAGTCAGGAAGAGCCCTGTAGGAAGTTCAAGTTCCTCCCCCCTCCCTCCAGGTCCAGGAAGGTGAGTATCTAAACAGACTGGATCCCCAAAATCCAGTATATGCAGAGGAAACAAGTCTCAGTGTCATTGTCAATGGCTTTTCAGAAAGACTCCTGGCCAGCCACATTCAGAGAATCTGGTTGGATCATGTCCTCGTTCAGTCCCAGTCCAACTGGCCTTGGTGAACTCTCATTAGATCAGACCCCTTGTATCAGTGGGTGATCGCATCTCTCGCAGTCCTGCTTTACTTTTTCATTTTCTTCCTCCTTCTGCTCCTCATTTGGACCTTGGGGGGCTCAGTCCAGTGCTCCAATGTGGGTCTCCATCTGTATCGCCATCCATCATCAGATGAAGGTTCCCTCTGGTCTTGCCTTCTTTGCTCACGTTCTCTTTCCTTCTGCTTCTCATTTGGACCTAGGGAGTTAAGTCCAGTGATCCAATGTGGGTCTCTGTCTCTATCTCCATCCATCGCCAGATGAAGGTTCTATGGTGATAAGCAAAATATTCATCAGTATGGTTATGGGTCAAGACCAGTTCAGCCACCCTCTCCTCTGTCCAGAGAACAATCTGGGGATCTCTTCTTGGACCTGGGATCCCATATATAATCAAGTCTCCTGTAAACCCTAAAATGAATCCCTTAGTAGAAATATATTCTTCCCTGATCCCATATTCATCCTTCCTCCCTCCCCCATCCCAGTCCCCCGAGCTTTCCCCATTCCTCCCCTACTCCCTTCTCTCTAACCCTCTCCCCTTCCAACAACCCTCCCACCCCTCCATGCACCCGAGGTTACCTGGGACTCTTGTCTATTTTCTATCTCCTGGAGGATAGCTAAATAATCTTCATCAGGTTCACCTTCTTATTTAGCTTCTCTAGGATCACGAATAATAGGCTCAAAGACCTTTAATTATGGTTAGAATCCACTTATGAGTAAATACATACCGTGTTCCTCTTTTTGGGTCTGGCTTACCTCACTCAGTAAAGCGTTTTCTATTTCCATCCATTTGCATGCAAAATTCAAGATGTCATTGTTTTTTACCGCTGAGTAAAACTCTAATGTGTATATGTTCCACACCTTTTTTAACCATTCTTCTATTGAGGGGCACCTATATGAATGACCTATTTGATAAGAACTTTAAGTCTTTGAAGAAAGAAATTGAGAAGGATACCAGAAAAAGGAAAGACCTCCCCTGCTCTTGGATTGGGAGAATCAACATAGTAAAAATGGCAATTCTACCAAAAACAATCTATAGATTCAATGCAATTCCCATCAAAATCCCATCAAACTTCTTCACAGACCTGGAGAGAACAATAATCAAGTTTATATGGAAAAACAAAAAAACCCAGGATAGCCAAAACAATCTTATACAATAAAGGAACTTCTGGAGGCATTACCATCCCTGACTTCAAACTCTATTACAGAGCAACAGTACTGAAAACAGCTTGGTATTGGCATAACAACAGAGAAGTAGACCTATGGAATCAAATAGAAGACCCGGGTTTTAACCCACAAACGTATGAACACCTGATTTTTGACAAGGGGGCTAAAGCTATACAATGGAAGAAGGATAGCATCTTTAACAAATGATGCTGGCATAACTGGATGTCAACCTGTAGAAGAATGAAAATAGATCCATATCTATCACCATGCACAAAACTCAGGTCCAAATGGATTAAAGACATCAACATTAATCTGACCACTTTGAACCTGATAGAAGAGAAAGTAGGAAGTAGTCTACAAGACATATGCACAGGAGACCACTTCCTAAGCAGAACCCCAGGAGCACAGACAATAAGAGAAACAATAAATAAATGGCACCTACTGAAACTGAGAAGCTTCTGTAAAGCAATGGACACTGTCAGTAAGACAAAAAGGCTACCTTCTGACTGGGAGAAGTCTGTGCCTTTTTATAGGTGAATTGAGTCCATTAATATTAAGTGATATTAATGACCAGTGGTTGTTGACTCTGGTTATTATTATTTTTGTTTGTTTGTTTAATAGAGTTTGTATGTGTCCCTTCTTTGAGTTAAGCTCGTGAAGGGTCGCTAGATGTCTGAGTTATTGTAGGCAGTGTTGGCAATGTTGGATTCCTTGGGTTGTGATTTTCCTTCTATTACTTTCTGTAAGGCTGTGTTTGTGGCTACGAATTGTTTAAATTTGTTCTCATCCTGGAATATTTTGTTTTCTCCATTGATAGTGAATGATAGCTTGGCTGGGTATTGTAGTCTGGGTTTGCATCCATGGTCTGTTAGTTTCTGAAGTACCTCTATCTGAACCTTCTGACTTTCATGGTTTCCATAGAGAAGTCCGGTGTAAGTCTGATAGGTTTACCTTTATAAGTTACTTGACCTTTTTCCTTTGCAGCTCTTAATATTCTTTCTTTAATCTGGATGTTTTGTGTTTTGATTATTATATGGCGAGGGGATTTTTTTTTTTGATCAAGTCTATTCGGTGTTCTGTATGCTTCTTGAACCTTCATAGGAATATCATTCTTTAGGTTGGGAAAGTTTTCTTCTATAATTTTGTTGAATATATTTTCTGGGCCTTTCATCTGCAGTTCTTCTCCTTCTTCAATCCCTATTATTCTTAGATTTGGTTTTTTTATTGTGTCCCAAATTTCTTGAATGTTTTGTGATGAGAATTTGTTGGATTTGCTGTTTTCTTTGATCAGAGCATTTATTTCCTCTATGGTATCTTCAGACTCTGAGATTCGTTCTTCCATCTCTTGTATCCTATTTGTTATGCTTGATTCTGTAGTCTCTGTTTGTTTACCTAGATTTTCCATATCCAGCCGGCCCTCGTTTTGTGTTTTCTTCATTGACTCCATTTCAGTTTTCAATTCTTGAACTGTTTCCATTACCCGTTTGATTGATTTTTCTTGGTTTCCCAGTGTATCATTCATGGATTTACTCATTTCTTTGAACTTTTTGTTATACTTCTCATCCATTTCTTTACTCATTTCTTCAATCTTTTTGTTATACTTCTCATCCAGTTCTTTAAGGGAATTATTCATATCCTGTTTAAGGGACTCTATTGCTTTCATAATGGCACTTTTTTCCACTTCTTCTGAATTAAGAGGTTCAAGTCCTTCTATGGTAGGGTCGTTGGGATCTGGTGATTTCATGTTGTATTTTAGATTGTTGGAGGAGTTCTTGCCTTGGCGTCTGCCCATCTCTTCCTTCAACTGCTCTATATTGGATCTTCTAGTACCAGGTCAGGTTCCCTTGTTGGGTAGGGACTTCACTGACAGAAGGTCTACCTTTCCTCAGGCAGTCTATTGAAACACAGGCACTCCCTCCTACTGGGTTGCACTCACAGCCCCGGCCCAGCATGCAAGGGAGTAGCTCTGGGGAGATCTTGTGGCCCCAGGGGGAAGGGAGAAAGAGAGGAAGGTGTACCTGGATGAAGGCTGGTATGGGATTCGGGAGATCTCCACAGGGTGGAGCCACCACTGCAGGGTGACCAGAAAGTCGAGGGGGGCGGGGAAAGTCTGAATTCCTCCTAGCTGAAGCCCTCGGGCCAGTAGCAAAGTCACCCCTCCTCTGATGGATGTCTGCTAGAAGTTCACTGTCTCTTGTTGGCCAGGAATGTGGCTGAGCTGATTCAGGGCCTGTCTGTCCTCAGGCAGGCTCTCACAGCACCGGAACTGCCCCTGCCCGGCTGAGCCCACAGCCCAGGCTCAGCGTGCAAGGGAGCAGCTCTGGGGAGATCTTGTGGCCCCAGGGGGAAGGGAGAAAGGGAGGAAGGTGTACCTGGATGAAGGCTGGGGTGGGATTCGGGAGAGCTCCGCAGGGTGCAGCCTATAGTGCTTTTCTTGACTAGTGGCCATGTCCTTGCTCTTTGGATTTTCTACTGCATGTCCACCAGAAACCACTTCCTTGTTTTCAGGAACTCATGAGGGTTCTGTACTCAGAGAAGCTGCAAGCAAAGAAAAACAAATTGTTTCCCTCAACAGTCAAAAGGTAATAGAAAGTTCAGGGTCCGAGGTTCTACAACTCCCAATAGTCTTGCCCAAGAATATAAATTATTTCAGGCTTATAGCTGCATGTGCTAAGTCCCAGTGTCTCTATCCTCAGAGTATTTGGGGCCTACAGCATGGATGTGATCACAAGCATGGCATTTGGTGTGAGTGTAGATTCCCTCAACAACTCAAAGGATCCTTTTGTGGAAAAGACCAAGAAGCTCTTAAAAATTGATTTATTTGATCCATTGTTAATGTCAGTAGGTATGTAGGTTAGTTCTTCTGTCTTTTGACCCAGTGCTCTTGTCTGTGGCCATGTTTGTTAGTTCTGCATTTCTCTTCCACACTTACTAAAACTATCAGCTCTATTGGTATCTAATTCACCTGACATGTAATTTATAATCTTAATGGGATTGTATTTATAATCCAATATTTTTAGTGCATTCAATGATATTTACTCCATTACTTTTGTTTTTGAACTTAATTTTATTTTCTTTTAGAGAGGGTCTCACTGTGTAGCTCTAGCTTTCCTGGAAGCTGCTGTGTAGACCAGGCTGGCCTTGAACTCACAGAGATTACACAACCTCTGTTACCTGAATGCTGTACTTAAAGTTTTAAGCCACTACTCCTGGCTTTGATTTAGAATTCTTTTATTTATCCTTTGACAATATCATACAGGTATACAATATATGTTGATTATACCCTCCCCTAACTCTCACCCCCACTTCCCTCAGACCTCCCAAGATAGCTTTCTCTCAATATATGCCCCTTCCCACTTTTAAGTCACCCAGTAAGTCCAATCATTTATTGCCTGTTGGGATATTGACCAATATTAGTGTGATCTCATGCAGTTGGCCATTTCAGAAGTGGGCCATGCTGTGACCAGGATAAGGCATTTCACACCACCCCTCCCTGACACTTACCTTATTCCCACACCCTCCTTCATGAAGTTTCTTAAACCTTGAGTGTTGGGCTGATATAGATGCTCCATGTAGGGTTCAGCACTCAACAGCCACTTATTATCAGCACTTTGATCCCTTAGGAGTCTGTATTGACTGATGAACTACATGGCCAGTTACCAATGTCAACTACAGAGTACTTTGTTCTAGCCATGCCGCACATTTGCACCATCATCAATCAAACAACCTTGACCTAAGCCATCACCAATTCACTTTCTGTATATTTACATATTCTGAGTATTTCACATCAATGGGATCATTGACTATGTCATCTCTGTGACATGCCTTGATCATTTAGCACACTATTAAATTATTAGTGTCTATTATGAATGCATAATATTCCATATTCACTGATAGACACTGAAATTAGTTTTGTATTTTTGCCATGAATTTTACTGCTATGAGCATATACATAAAGTGTTATGTCTGAATATTTGTTTTATGTTTTGGGTATACATTCAGAATCTTTGAACTAAGTTATAAAGTAACCCCATTTCTAACATATTAAACAAATGTACATACATTTTTCACAGTAGCTGCAGCATTTTAAATATTTTCTAAAAATACTGGAGAGTTCAAGTTTCTCCATGCTCCACCCAACAGTTGGCTCTGGTCTACAAGAGCTAGTTCCAGGACAGTTAGAAAAATTACAAAGAGAAACTGTGTCTGAAAAACCTAACAAAAAAAGGAAAAGAAAGAAAATTAAGACTGTAACCCTGTGGCTGGACTTTCTTTGGACCACCAGAACACAAATAATAACACAGAATTTACTTATTAATTATGAAAGTTTGGACTTAGTTCAGGCTTTTTCCCAGATAGCTCTGATAACTTAAATTAACCTATTTCTAATAATCTACTTTCTGTCACGAGGTCCATTACCTCGTCTCCGTAGGTACATTTGATACTCCATTCCTATCCTCCACCTCCATATCTTGCTAGTGAATTATACCTCTCTTCTTCCTAGACTGCCTGTCTCCTACCAGTATTCCTGCCTATTATCTCCTGCCTGCTGTTGGCCATTCAGCTCTTTATTAATCCAATCAGAAGGTGCCTTTACAGAGACAACTCTTCACAGTTTACATGAAGATTTTTCCACAACATAAGCCTCCCTGTGCTTTTTTTATACAATCTTGGTATATATACATTTCACACTCTCTCAAGACATTATCTGTTGTTTTGCTATTTCATGGAGATCCCAAGATCTCACACATGCTAGGCAATTACTCCATCACGAAACTATATCTCAATAAACTTTCCAGTATCCTGCTGGAGTTCTTTGAACATTGGCTATTTAATAAGTGTCCTGATTAATTTTCACATAACTCTAACATTCCAAATATCCTTTTGTTGCTAATTTTATTTATATAATGCCAGTTGAGAAACAAAGTTTACTGCTCTATCTTTACTATGTATTTATTAGCTTAAAAATAAATTTATTGATTTATTTGTCTGTGTGTTCATGCATGTGCTTTGGTGTTTATGTGGCATGTACAAATCAGAGAACAACATGCAGTAGTTTGTTCTTTCCTTCCACAGTGTGGGATTCAGGGATCAAACTCAGGTTGTTAGGCTTTTCTGCAGGACCCTTTAGCTGTTGGACCATGTCAATGTCCCATATCTGTGTTTTGGATCCCAAAACTACAGGAGCAGAGTTAAATCCAAGAGTCAGATTTGTTCCTTTGGGCTACTCTAAAGTGCAGAAAGAGCATTATGATACTGACCCAGTGTGAGCAAAATAACAAAGAGAATTGTTGGATAAACACTGGTGACTTATTCTTTGGATTGCTTCATGGTTTCTCTAAATGAAACTTGTATTTCTACTAAAGCTTATCTTTTTAATCTATCCTTTCCAGTACTCTTTCCATTTCTTACACCAATATATGAGATGTTAAATATCTCCATATTCCCAAAGGATTCAATAGCATTTCTCAAAAAATCTGCGGGTAGAATAAAGAAAAAACGCCTGCATTCTAACCAGAAGGTAAAAAATGGTGGTCTCATGAGAAGACCAGGGTGTGGTTATGTATTGGGCTGTGAACATATCAGTTCTATCAATAAAGATTGTTAGAAGAGGCTATATTTAGACAGAAAAAAAGAATATTTTTATTTCTTGGGGAGGAAAAGTTGGAATTTTGAAAAACTGATTGAGAGTGAACCAGGAATTAACTCTTAGCAATAGTAATGAAATGAAGAGTGCCCTGACTAAGGACTGAAATTAATAAAAAATGGTAAAGTACAGGACCTGAATAGATAACACTACCAAATCTTCAAGATAAATGAGGGAGGACCTCTCCAAGTCCCACACCATCCTGAGGAACTATTGGTTGTTGGTGACTGCAGAGAGAGGGTATAGCCACCAGTACGTTTTCCATGCACCATCAGATATTCCTATATCCAGGCACATGTGGGTGGTAGCACTTGGATTCAGTGGGTTATTTAAGAAGAGGTCATAAAGTTTGGAGGAAGAAATGTTACAAGGGATATATAAAATATTAAGAGGGGAAAATACTATTTTCATCTGCTTCAAAATCATTTTCAAAAAAATCAATGTTATTGTTTAAAAGTGTATCTATTGTAATTTATTGTAAAAGTGGTTGATATAGTTGCTGGATTGCTTCCTGGTTTAGCCACGGAAGTCTCAAAGAACACTAACCATGCTTGTGACTTTAAGGAAGCTACATTCTCAGAAAGGAGGGTAAGCTTCTGCACTCCTGATCCATCCCTGAGCTCTGACCTCACCATTGACATTCTATTTTACAACTTCTCTTTTTGTTTCCAGCACCAAGTGGATTTTCTTTACCTGATGTTGAACTCTCAAAATAATTCCAAAGACAAAGAGTTTCATAAAGGTAACCAAGGACTCCCTGGTCTGTGGACAAGTAAGCTCTCAGGGAGTGATCACATGACTCAGAAAATGTGTGGGAAGGTTTGTCTAGCAGAAGCATTCCTCTGCTAGGTTACTGAAAGAAGGGCATGGCTATTATCAGTATGGAATTGTCTAGAAACACATAGGCGCAAGTTTGTTCCAAAAATGAAGGATAGCCACAGTGATGTCTGTGTGTCACCTAGGTCTGGACAGGTGCTGTTTCTGTCTTTCCCAGTACACTGACTGGAAACTCTGCCTAGACATTTGAGTCTAAACATTCAGACAGGAGGCATGTACATAAATGTTGTGTATGCTTTCTGGGAGCCCCTTGTGAACATGTGTTTTCTTCCTAAATATATGGTGAAAATTTACTTTTCTTCATGTGTTGGATAACTTGCATCTGGAAAATAAGTTCTTTGTATAAACACACTGGTTCTCTTCATTCTTCTACATACTTAAAAATTACTTTTAGATTTTTATCTTCTTTGGGTGGTATATGCATCTGGCCATAAGTGTATGGACATGTGTATACACCTATATCTCTGTGAATGCCAGAGGAAGGCAAAAAGTGTCTTCCTCAATCATTCTCTAACTTATTTCCTTCAGATGGAGTCTCTTATCAAACCTGGATCTAGGCTTGCAGCCAGTAGGTCCCTATGATCTAAGAGTTTGGGTTCCAGGGTTGGGTCACCCAACCTGTCTTTTTACATGAGCACTGAGGATTCAAACTCAGGTCTTCGTGCTTGCACGGCAAGTTCTCTTACCCAATGAGTCATCTCTGTAGCCTCCCATCCATGTTTATGTTTTACTTTAAAACCATTATTACTATCATTGTTGTTAATTTCCAGACTTCACATGTGTGCATAAGTAACTAATGTAAAGGGAGTCTTCCATTCTTACCTATTTCCTTATTTCTAGTGCACACAATAGTTTATATGTAGCAATATAATCTTCTAGGTTCCCCCAATTTGCTTTTCAAAGTCCTCATGTGTTTTATGTTTAAAATTTTTTCCAGTTTGTCCATTTGAAAGACTTTCATGTGATCAGCTAACTTCAAAATAGTCTATACGTCCTCTTCCTTATGAGAACAGATCTCATGTAACCTGCAAACAGAGACTGCTCATTTGTTTTCAAGCCATCCAACCAAAAAAAAATTACACAGAGACTATATTAATTACAACACTGCTTGATCTGTTAGTTTGGGCTTTTTATTGGCTAGCTCTTACATCTTAAATTAACACATTTCTATTGATCTATGTATTGTGATGAGGCTGTGGCTTACCTGAAAGATTCAAGGGTGACTTTCTCCTTTGGCAGCTACATGGAGTCTCTCTAACTTCACCTACTTTCTCTATGTATCTTTGTTTGGATTTCCTGCCTGGCTTTATTCTGCCCTGTCATAGTCTGAAGCATCATCTGTATTAACTAAAGGTAATTAAACATGTTCATGGTATAAAGAGGAGAAACCCATATCAGTAGCCCAGGCTGACCTCACATTCATGGTGTGCCTGAGAATAACTTCTTAACTTCTATGCCACCATGCCTAGCTTATGCAATACTGAAAATTAAACCCATGACTTCATACATGCCAGGCTAGCTCTCTACCTACTGATCTACATATCCTCAACCCTTCTCTTTCATTTTTGATTGATAAAAGACACATTCAATTTTAAAATACCCACTGATTATCGGTTTGTAGTCCAGTTTCAATTTAGTAGCAAGGACTAGCACTAATTAGGAGAGAAACTTTACCAACAACAGAGTCACACCACTTATGACAAAAGTTTCCTTTTTTCTGTAACTCTAATTATATGGGATCCAGAACCATCCTCTTCTCTCTATGGACACTTGAACATATGTAACTGCACGCATATAAATAGATAAAAATCAAAATTCCTAACCTCTAGCAAAGGACTGGAATACAGTTTCCAGTACCTACCTCTAATAGCTCACAATATTCTAAAACTCCATGTCTAGGGCATAAGATGCTCTCTTCTGAACTCCATGTCCAACCCAAACACGCACAAGGTACCCATTCACAGACACAAATACACATACATGAGCACACATATGGCAACACACCTACTCACATAAACTAAAACAATTAAAAGCCCATTAAAATGTGTTGTAAGTGCCTAGGTTCCTTCTTTTTTATTGATTTTTATTGAACTCTACATTTTTCTTTGCTCCCCTACCTGCTTTTCCCCTCTCCCCTTCAACCCTCCCTCAAGGTTCTCATGTTCCAATTACTCAGGAGATCTTGTCTTTTTCTACGTCCCATTTATATTAGATTTATGTAAGTCTCTCTTAGTGTCCTCATTGGTGTCTAAGTTCTCTGGGATTGTAGTTTGTAGACTGGTTTTATTTTTTGCTTTATGTTTAAAAACCACTTATGAGTGAGTACATGTGATAATTTGGTGTAAGAAGGTCTTCTTTCTATGTGTTGCCTTCATTGGTCAAATAAAGAAACTGCCTTGGCTTTTTGATAGGGCAGAATTTAGATAGTAGGAGTAGACCAAACAGAATGCTGGGAGAAAGAAAGCAGAGTCAGGCAGATGCCATGCCTCTCCTCTCCAAGACAGATGTTGGTTAGACTCATGCCAGTAAGCCACAGTCAAGTGGTAATACACATTAATCGAGATGGGTTAAACTAATATGTGAGACTTAGCCAATAAGGGGCTGGAGATAATGGGTCAAGCAGCATTTAAATGAATACAGTAATTATTTCGGGTAAAGATATTCAGGCGGCTGGGAACCAGGCGGGAAGAAAAGCAGCCTGCTCCCCTTTTACCACAATTATTGTCTTGTTGTGTCTGGTTACATCACTCAAAATAATGTTTCCTAGCTCCATCCATTTTCCTACAAAATTCAAGATGTTGTTATATTTTTCTGCTGTGTAGTACACCATTGTGTTTTTTCTTATGCTGATTTCAACTTTGTGTCTACTGAGAACTCAACAACTAAACAGTACAATGAACTCAGTTGAAA